CCGGATCCCCCCCCCGCAGGGGGCGGCTCCCCTGCTCCCTGCCAGTACCTGCAGGGCTCATCCCTCTGCACCGGCTGTCCCTGTCCTCAGACACCAGCTGCGGGGCTGGGGGGTGCGTGGGCAGGAGGTGGCAGGGCCACACGGGGTACCTGTCACCAGGCATGCAGCTCTCGAGATGCTCAGCCCTGGGGACAGATCAGAGGGGAGCCTGGAGCAGAGCGGGCAGGCACTCTGACTCTGCTCCAACTCCTAACAAAAAGGAAAAAAGATCCTTCTCCAACATCTTGCACTAAACAACCTCTGGGCCAAGTCTGCTGGAACCTTAAGAGGCAGCCACTGCACGTGTGTGCACATGCATGTGTGCACGGGGATGCACTTCTGCACACGCGTGTGCACAAATGCACATGTACCTCTGCGCACGCACTGTGTGTGTGTCTGCGTGCATGTCTGTCTGTCCGTGTCTGTGTGCGTGTGTGTGTGCACATCTGTGTGTGTGTCTGCGTGCATGTCTGTCTGTCCGTGTGTGTCTGTGTGTGTGTCTGTGTGCACGTTTGTTTGTTTGCGTGCATGTCTGTCTGTCTGTGCGTGTGTGTGTCTGTGTGCATGTCTGGGTGTGTGTCTGCGTGCATGTCTGGGTGTGTGTCTGCGTGCATGTCTGTCTGTCCGTGTGTGCCTGTGTGTCTGTGTGCACATCTGTGTGTCTGTGTGCATGTCTGTCTGTCCGTGTGCGTGTGTACCGCACGGAAGAGGAGCAGATTAACGCCTTAGGTCACATGGGAGCTACTGCTGGACGGACCCCACCTGGGATTTGGGTTCTTATAGTTAATAGGATCGCTGGAGCTCAAGGCCGTCATCCCATCAAGATAAATGTCTCTAGTGCCCACTTTTAAGCAATCCGAATTCAATTAGGCTAATTGGAAAACAAGTAAAGAAGGATTGCATTAATATAGCCTTACAGCATGAACCTCCACTCCCTCCGGAGGGATGGCTAAGCGTGGGGACCCCAGCGCCGCAGCCC